TTTCTATCTCCTGATCCATGTCAATGCTGAGCAGCTGTAAGCCCCAAGGAGCAGGTGTATTCTGTTAGTTACTGTATCAGTCCCAGTTTACTGAGTGGTAAACAGGCACTGTTTCCACCATTCCCACCACATTTGCGGTTAATTACAACTGAGAGCTCTGAGGGGTTCATCACCACCCTTCTAGAGCCTTACTGACCTCTCTGCTGTAAAGACACTTGCATTTGCGAGCATCTGTGTTAACCTGTATTATTTCTTGACTTTTTCAATTAAGAAATTATAGCAGCTCACTTATAGTTACCCTGTGCTGAATTCTTCCTGTTCTTCTTATGCATTCCTACAAACAATACTGTCCCAACTAAGCCCTCAGCATCAGGCAGTGGGTTACAAGGGTCTAGAGGTCCCTGTTTCCTCGAAGTGAGGCCAGACAGAGACACTGTGAAAACCAGGGTCACTGGTTTCTTGAAATATAGTGAGACACAACAAAACAACATATCATGATTTTAACTGATTCTTAAATGAATGGGTGAAATCGATTATTTAGCTGCCAGTGTTTATCTTTTGAATATTGGAAGGAGTTTGATGGAGCCTGGCTGTGAGGCGTTGCCTCTGACTAAGGCACATTTTGGGGGAGAGAGATGGCGGCATTTAGGGTGGGGGCAGGTGGACATCTTGGGCCCAGAAGTGTCCCCCCCCAGGTGGGTGCAGACTTCTCTGCACAGAGTCACACAGCGGGACGCAGGTCAGCACAGGTACCGAGCACCCCATTCAGCCCACAAATGCTGGCGCCCTCCTCTGCCCGGGGTGCCCAGGATCCTGATTCCCACCTCTGACCCAGTGCTGGTTCCTGATGACTGTGCATCACACACAGCCAGCAGGACTACAACGCGTGTGCATCAGGATCAGGAAAAGAGTTTGGATCTTAAGGAGTAAAATATCTACCCAATATGTGGCGTCATTGAAGAGCTTTGGCCAGGACACAGTGTTTACAGTCAGCAGTTGACTGGAAAATAAGTGTTTACTTGTAGTAACTATATTAAGATCTTTGGCATCAGGCAATAGATATCTTGCATTGTGTCTCTTCTTACCGAAAACTTTGCATAGGAATAAACCCATAATTAGAGATTCCCTTGGCAAGGAACAATGTTGAACACCAATACTATTTGATGTTAGCATTCCAGAGACAACCAAAACCAGGAAACTTTCTTTGGAAAGATGGCCTTAAAAAAATGGTATGCTTCATTTAAAACTGTAAGTGAAATATTTGCTGAATAAAGATTAAATGTCCCTAATATTCAGCAAGAACTTGAGCACATTAGGGCTCCCAGGCCTGCACGTGTTCTGCTAAGAAGCTGTGTTAACAGGACAGCGCATCCTCTGCAGAGCCCCTCAGGCCCCTCATGGATTTCCGGGTGTTTCCTATTGTGCCCCCAGGAATGGGTACAACTCTGTAACATTCCAAGACTAGCATCCTGCTCTTGCTTCAAACGCTGTGTACTTTTTCTGGCTCTGTTGTCTTAACAGATTTGTTCTCCCAAAACGCTGTTCTATGGGTGGAGGGCCCTCATCATGTAAGGTTTCTAATAGCATCACACCCTGGCTACCCACCTGTTGCAGACTGACTGGGCCTACCATTAAGCAAGCAGCCCATCCTTAGCAAGTGCATGTTCTTGGGCAGCCAGAAACTTTGCTTAGGTCTCTGTTCTCTGCTATGTAGACTTGTGACAAGAATTCTGTGAAACAAACTGCAAAGCTCTAGCACAGACTCTCATAGCTGGTTTTGGGCCCACAAGTCAGGTGGGTGGTGGGTTCTGGTGGGTGCTCAGAAGCCCTTGGTGCCATGGAGCCCACCAAATGGCAGTGGCAGAAGCAGCAAGTGATCCTGGCTTCAGGAGGGTCCAGTCCACTCTGGGTGACCTGATGGAGGAAGGGATGACTGGGGAGCCGCCCTTGACTGTGCCCCTCAGTGTGTGCAGCCCACCCTGACCACGTGTCATCAGCTTGTGCTTGTCTGTCCTCATCTGCTTTTTCGACACCCATTGAGAATGCCCTGTGGCTGGACGGGCGAGGCTTCCTGAGGGCAGACAGGTGGGGTGGGCAGGAGAGCCCCTCGCAATCTGGCGTCCAGAACACACCTCTGCACACACTCATCTAGAGCAGAGGTTTGCTCTCACTGTTTTTACTTTTACACAACCGGAGGGCATAGGACCGACCCTTACAGTGCTGTCCTGATTTTCTGTCTCATCACTGGCCAAACACCCTTCCCTGACACTCTCCCACTTGGAACATTCAGAAGCCTTTCTTGGGGCGCTCTGAGGCTGTTGGACGAATCCCTGGCACTTGCCGGGTCCCCACTCCATCCTACAACAGCAGTGTGTGCTACTCAGAGCAGAAATGAGGCGAGCAGGCAGCATAAGGGCTGGAGTCATCTAGTTTCCATTTCCAAAATATGCTTCTTGCTTTCTCCCTTACAGTGTGACGTTATTTACTGGGGGCTGCAAAACCATTTCAATAAAGTTTTAAAATACTCTGGGATTATAGTCTTGAAAGGAAATTTTCACATCCATGGGATAAGCCCCTTTGGTTCCCGACTATTCCACGTGTAAGTCCCTGATAGCCCTTTCCGACATATCCGCAAGAGCACACACAGACCTACCGACATAGCCCGGCAGGCACGCGTGCGTGCACGCATGCACAGACATCCACCATGCACAGGGCACTGCGTGCAGCCAGACACCAGCAGGAACAATGCCCTGTGAAGACCATGCCGTTGCGTCTGTAATCCAGAGTGGGTGACGGAGAGCTGATAAGGGAGGAAGTGGGACCAGACAGTTTAATCCCTCAATTTCCTGTCTTCTAATCAGCCCCTGACTCTTTTGGTTTTAAATTAGAAACATTCCTGACAATATTCAGGACAGGTGAAGGAAAATCAACTAGAAAATAAGTAAGGACAGAGCATTTATTTCACTGTCTAAAGTTCACAGGAGAAATATGAGCGTAACAACAGGAAACCAAGATTTTAAAGAGGACAGTGGAAGTCCACAGGCTGGCCTGAACCACCAATCACGTTTCCGCATGAGGGACACTGTGGTCATAATTAGATTTAGAGGAGAAATGAACAAGTTTAACGTATTTGTGTCTCTCAGCAGACGATAGAGAATGTTGTACAGGGCTAACCTAAAAGAAAATAATGATAACTTAATATATGTGGGAGGAAAAAAACCCTTACCCCAACTAAATCAGATTTTGCTCAGAATTGATTACTGCTAATACTGTGAGCAAATAATATTTGGAATGTGGAGGAACTGCTGAAATTAATATATTCTTAAAACTAATAAAGTTACACATATTTACAATGGTGTATAAAATTTTTAAACTGTGCATTTAAAAACACTGAGGTGGTAGGGTCAATAAACTCTGCAAAAAAATAAAAAACAGTGCTCAAATGCATAAAGTGTAAGGTATACAAATGTATTTACTAAGGACTCTTTTAAAAGTGTACAAGGTGCTGAAACTATGATAAGCCTCATTATTTCCTGATTCTCTTCCTTTTAAGTTTTTCATTTACAGCCACTGAGGTAATTTCCAAGTTATTTTCATCATTATTACTAAACAGTGAAAATTCTTAGACGAATCTTCATTAGGCAATGTCTTCAGGGGAACAGAGAAAGCAGTCACTAATAAACATCGTTGAAAATTACTTTAAAAATTGACACAGTAAATACAATTTAAGATATGAATCCAAGTAAGTAACAATAACAAGAGTTTTCCATGAAATATGACTTCTTAATTTTGGGTCTGCAGTGGTTAAAGTTACCAATCATGTGGAAAGCGGGATAGAGATTTTTAAAAATTGTTGAATACAGCAAGACTGTGTTTCATAGAAGAATTTTGCTAGTTTTTCCACGATTACTTTTAAATACAGATATTTATGCCAAAAGGCACAGCATATCCTGCTTGCCCAAGCATTTTCCCATTGCACAAAGTTTGAGCTGTAAAAATTTGGATTAAATGGCACACAATTACTGTTTGAAAGATTGTACATCAATTGCTAAAGAGAATATTTCTGAACCAAGTGCTCGAGTGACTGGCTTGGGCGAAAAGGGTTGTAGTGTGATTTGGGAACCACCATTCAGAGCCTCCAGGAGTTTTTAAATTGAACGGCCAGAGAAAGACAAGTGCATTTTGGAGTTCACACAAAACCTGTCTGTCACACTGGCATCGCTAAATCCTCATGGAGAGGAGAATTTTTTTTGTGGCTTCTTTTTTACACCCGCGGGTAGAACAGGCAGGACCCTCCCGGACAGAACGATAGCTCGGAGCACCCAGGTGCTTCCACTTCATGTAGAGCAAAGGAAATGTTCACGAGGGTTTTCTTTCGGGAGATTTCAACTATAGATGTCACAACACGGCTAGATGAAGCTGATACGTAATATCCATTTCTTGATTTGCATGATTAAAGCAGTGGAGAAGTGGTTCAGATATCAAAAGATCCCTCATAAGTGGCAGCGCCAAAGGTAATTACTGTTCAAATGTGCACACTCGGACCTGGCCGCTCATTAACTTTCAAATTGTTTACACTCTGCAAGTTTGAATAAAAGTTTTCAAATGACTTTGGGATACTCAGAGCAACTCCTTGCTCCCCTATGACATAAAAACACATTTATCATTTCTTATAAGCCTCAACAACAGCAGCAAAAAGTGACTGAAAAGGGATGTCCCCAAGCAACATTTTAAGTTATAAAGCAACTGTTTCTTAAACAAAAAGCCTTTCTTAAGACAGCTATACTTTATATATAAAACGAATCCAAGATTAGTCGAGTCAGCCGACTGGCACAAAGTTATGAAAAAGTGCACTGATCCCCTACTGTAAGCCGGAGTTGTGGGGGAGGGGGAGAAAGCAAAGAGAGGTTGTTATTCCCAGTCTTTTATTAACCAGTTTCTTTCATCCTAGCGTGTCTTTATTACTTAGAAAACTAAAAATGGTCCGGGCTGTAGCCCATGTCACCTAAAATTCTGGAGCGGGCGATGACTTCCACAACCCGGTCCAACATATGCCCCCAAACTAAAACAAACAAACTCATTTGCCATACAAATTGTTTACGATTCATTAAAACGCAAAATTGCATATCCCAGAGCTGGCAGCTGAGGCCGGCCGTGGAGGGCATTCACTGCGTGCCTTTGTATGCTGTGCGGAGCACCCAGCCGGGCTCCCACCAGGAGCAGAGCCCGTGCAGCCGGACAGCGGTGAGGTAATTTTAAAGCTTTATTCGCTTTTGCTGGGAAACTCAGAGCTTGTGCTCTCCTTTGATTAAAGATCCCTATCAACAGGGGGAAGCTTAATTTTTCTCAGTTGGGAAAATTGTTTGGAGTAGTGAGACAGAGAACGGAAGGAGAGGGGTAAGGACTACTCCAGGAGAGAGCTCAGAGCAAATGTGAAATTTGTGTAATTTTAATTAGCCCTCTCCCCTTCACCCAGTTCTTCTGAAATTTCTCATTGATCACAAGACATTACACTAGCATTATTTGTAACTGGTAAATCTAAAATGCTATGCTATATGGTCGCCTTTAAGGGAAAAAAAATGGATTTGTTCTCTCAGCTTCTTCGGAGAGCGCTCTGATTTCTCACTCCTTTTCAAAGCAAAGACCTGAAGTTGAGAGAAACTTCCTTGTGTTTGCAGCTAAGCAGCATGTGAGCTTTCAGCATTGTTTATTTTTAGTCAGCTGCATTGCAAAATGTTTCCACTACTTTTATATGTTATCTTCCGGGTGGTAGAACATCTGTAAAATAAGTTTAAATGAAAAGCAACTTCCAAGTAAACTTTACAGAAAAAGAAGTTACAGTTTTCCAAGTTTAAAGAAAGATGCATTTGGTGGTCTCTGCAAGAAATAAAGATGACACAAATTGCCACAAAATGTAGCAATCTATAAAACCTAGGCACTCTCAAGATACAAAGAAGAAGTATGTTTTCCTCAGAATATGACATCAGCAGGCAGTTTTTTTTAAACTTACAAGTTAGTCTAGAAAATAATAGCCCAATCCGTACATTCAATTCTACTGTTTAACAAGCCTCAGAGGGTGAAGCAATAGCAGCATCGCTGTACATAAGTAAACTTTATTCTTGCTGGCAGAAGCTAATGGGAATGTAAATGCCCTGAATAGAAGTTCAGGGTCGAAATGGATAGTCTACTGCCAGCCTCGTTAGCCAAAAGCTGCACGTAACACTGTCCGGAAATCACTGGTGGAGTTCCTGACATCCGGCTAAGAAATCGCAGGTTAAAATGCACACGTACACACATACCCACAAGCACTTTCGCCCAAGTCCTTGGAACAGACACTGTGCACCCCAAGAAGCAGCCGAATGGCATCCTGTGGCAGCTCACTTCTAAAAGCCTCTCCATCCTCCGAATTCCTAAAAGTCGCCACAACGACACCGCTACGGTCCACGCAGGGGAAAGGACTCTGCAGATCGCACGGCGAGCGCAACCGTGTCCTGTTTTGTAGTCCCACTCACCAGTCTCCCCTTCAACCTCGCTCTCTTAAACTGATATCTATGTGAAACGAGCTGAAGTTCACGGTCCAGTTAGGAACGGATAATACATTCATTGTCCTGGCAGCAACTTTTTTTTCACTCCCTGGAAGAATTCACGCTTGCCGCAAGAATAATAATTACGGAAAACTAGAAATACACTGCTAACGAATTAATCCTTAACGGACACCACCCTAACGAGGGCGGCGGAGAGGCGCAGACATGCTTCCTCCGGACAATGAGCCATTGTGCACCTCCCGCCGGCCCCACCTCTCAGTCCTCGCGGGCAGAGGTGGCCTGTCCTGGGTGACCAGCACCAGGAGTTAACTCGTTCTGCGGCTGCACGGTGGAACTTTATTGGAACTGACTTCTACCCAGAGCCCTGGAAGGCGGGGTGCAGGCTTTGCCACTCAGAGCTGGAGCCCCTGAGAGACCAGGACCTGATCCGACACAAACAAATGGGGACATTAGTGCCAGCTCTGCCCTGCTGGCGGACAGGTAGAGGGGAGTCAGAGCACTGGCACCAGTCACCGAGACAGGCCCCCAGCGGGGCAGGACACACGTCCACTTGGGGCTGGTTTTGCCCAGTGCCCAACATGCGTCCTCAGAAAACACCAAAGCCAGGAAAGCCATCCGGAGCAAGGGCAAAGCCCCAGGGGCAGACGAGTGTCTCGTTTGGTACCGGACATCGCCTGGCCAGAACGCCCACTCCACCTTAAAACTTCTGATACTGTTAAAAAAATTAAAAGCAGAGGAGCAAACTCCAGACCCTGTCCCCCGGCACACAGGGCCAGCGCTGCTGGGAGTGGAGCTGCCGAGTGCAGAGAGGGGGAGGCAGAAGCGGAGTGTGACTGCCTCGCTGAAGAGTGTGAAAAAATCAAACGCGAATTTGATGAATGTGAGGTCTGGGACATTTTGTCAAAGAGGGAGGGAAAGTAGAAAAGAAAAAAAAAAGGCAGTCCCGGCTGCCAACTCACCATCCACCAAGTTCTGGCCGAGATGTCGTAGCAGAGCTGCCATTTGATGGAGCCGTCGGAAGCTTTCCCTGCCATTACGCTGTCAGCAGGCTTCATGTGATGCTAGCTCACAGGAGATAAGACACCTAATTGAGAAAACATTTGCGGTGGCATGTGGGGCAACATGTAGTCCGGTCCACACCATATGGAATCATGGGTAAAAACATCTCCTTGACAATGAACCAATCTCTCCAGACCCAGTAGCAAGGTGAAGTGGATGGGAGTCTGCTGCTAGGACTGTCTCTCTCCTCTTTGCAAACACGAGCCCACTGCTCACATCAAAGGGAGGTGGTTAAAATTAGGGCTTCATCACTCAGATGATTTTGGTCTGCAAGGTTTTCCCTCTCCTCCCAACAACGACCCCCCACCCCCAAGGAGAATAAAGAGATTTAATAGGACAAAGGCAGGTAGTGGACGGGAGGAAGATCGCCACAGGCTATTAGCCTAAAATTTCTGCTTGACAGATGGAACTGCTTAGAGACTATCATGCAATGTTTTGGGCTTTTCTCCCCCAGCCCCCCTCGCTTTAAGTCTGATTCAGTATCTGTTTTTCACAGCCACTTTTCTCTAGAACGTGAGCTGCGCATTTAAAAAAAATGTTTAGTTCAGTTTTTCAGTTTTGCTGTCTTACATATCTCTGTTGGAAGCAAATTGAAAAGTCTAAAACTAAATCTGGGACTAGCTGAACAGGTTTTTCCAAAGAGGAGAAAAAATTCCAGGAGAAAATATTCCCCTTCTTCACCTTATTTTTAAAAATTGGATTTGCTTGTGAATTTGGTTGTGAAGGAGCCGATTTCCAGCCCCTGGGGTTTTGGTTCAGTGGCATTTTGTGGAGACATGTGTTTTCCCTGGGAGTAAAGAAACACATTGCCGATACAAGCCTCTCCCAGGCTACACACTGCCTATATTTTGGGGAACCTTTCAAAAAAATTAATTCTGGACTTCTCCAGTTTTTCTAAATAAAGTAATTGAGCATTATCAATTAGTTTAAAACAAGTGAGGCTATAATTGACATAAGTACCTCCTTAACTAGGGGAAGATCACTTCTGATTTCTTTATTGTAAGCTAGTCATTTTCTTTGTAGGGATTGTAAACTGAGGGGTTTTTTTTTTTTCTGAGAGAGAGAGAGAGAGAGAGAGAGAGAGAGAGAGAGAGAGAGAGAGAGAGAGAGAGAGAATCCACAACATAGACCTGCCAATAAGAAGGGCTAAAAAACATTTTTTTTTTTAACTGAGGAAAACTTCAGACAACTGCTACATTTCAAGTCATTTTATCCAGGACTACGTGGGCAGAAGGAAGCAGAGTGAATGATTTGTGTCAGTTCTGTTTATTCCTTCAGACGGGTGACAGCAGGGACCGCAGAGGGCCCTTTCTTGGAGCACGCACCAAAGCCCCCTCATTTGCTGAGACCTAAGCGACCGTCCCAGGAGCCGGGCTGGGGTCTGTGGGCTGCATGCTCTCAGCGTGCCGAGCAGGCGGGGGGCGGGGGGATTCACCCACCTTTGACTCTCAAGGCCTCCCCAGGGAGACTGCTTGCAGAGTTCTGCCCCTGCAGCTCCACTTGGATTTCTTTCTAGTCACATTTTTGACAGAATAATATTTAGATTAACTTATTCAGGCCATATTTTAAGTTACGAAGCCATAAAATTTGGTATTTTTAAAAATTTCTTATTTCTGACACCTTCTTTAGAAGGTATTATTTTAACTATTTAATGTCATGGTAATACAGTACCTAGCTGTTTTGACAGAAATAATTTTACTTAAGTGAATTTCATCCAGTTTCATCAGGAATGCTTTCTGATTTGAGGCATGATGCACAGAGGGCATCTAAGAGCAAGGCACAGATATAATAAATAATTTGCTGTTCCTCGTCACCCTCGACATAATGGGAAGGAGGCTGAGGCTAATTATGGAGGGCATTGTGCCTGTGTACTTTCTCCCGTCACCTGGGCCTCTCCCCTCAGGAGAGGGCGGCTCAGGAGATATTTAGTCACCCCGCTTCGGTGCCCAGGGACCCAGGGACCCAGGGAGCTGCAGCTGGCCCTTCCTCAGGACCCCGCCAGCCAAAACCTGCTCTGGGAAGCTGCAGTTCACCGTTGGGAGGAAGATAAGAAGTTGCAAACTCTATAAAACATAAAATAGATCCCCTCCCCCAAAGGGAAAGGAAAATAGGAAAAGAAATGCGGGTGTGTTGTCTTGGGTCTGCCTCTTGCCTTGCTGCAGCCACTGTTCTCGTCTCTGATGGACAGACAGGACCAGGGTCCGCTGCCTTCAGGGTCTGGTCCAGGCTCGGAGGCCCAGAGGCTCTGGACTTGGCCACAGTCTGCCGACCTGAGCGTGTCCTGCAGCAGCCAGGCAAGGAGGGAGGAAGGAGTGGCCTGTCCCAGCACCTAGGAACGAAGAGGGCACAGGGGCACAGAGTCCAGATTGCCCGGTGCGTGTGGGAACTGGAAGATCTGAGGCAGTGGCATAGCGGGTTGGAACACAGACATGAAGCGTATTACTGGATAATAGTGTTTTAGATCCAGAACAATTAGGTGCGCTTAACTTCATCGCTGTTCTCTAAGAGACTGGTGGAAGCTGTCCTTCTTCACACAGCAATCGGTCCTTTCACAGTGCGGCCTGCTGTTAATAGCCTTAAAACAAGATTAAATACAACATGCTAAATATTGCAATTATTGTGGGAAATAAAATTATTTGGTGAGCATAATGGGGAGCAATTGAAGCATTTAACGTGATCCAGGAAATGCTACTCCAAACAATTTCATTTGCTTTATGCATTTTTCCCCTCTGATTGCTGACAGATGCCTTTTTGGAAACAAACATCTAAATGCTTTGCTTTCAGTCAGAAAAAAAATGTAACAGAAAGTGGCTACATGTTTTGAATTTAACTCTTGTCATTTGAATACTTCTCTGCAGTGCATGTGGGTGAATCTAAGGCAGAAACGGCGCTCCTGTCAAGAAATGAGCCCCTGGAATCTGAGATTTCTCACTCCCTTTGAGGATGAGTAGGAAATGGGACCCTGGGCAGTGCAGTCAGGGTGGGCACTGAGGGGAGAGGAAGAGGTACCGGGAAAGGTCCTGACTTGTCACTGCAGGGAACCTTGGACTCAGTGCAAGTCACTTCCAGCCCACTCTGTTCACGGACCCAGGGCGCCCCAGATAAACCAGCACCCCTTTCACTGGGAGATCCCCGAGCATGCAGAGCATGGGGTTCCCCTTGGCCTCTCCTGCGGCGGACTTGGGTGAAGTCTGTGGCACAGAGGAGAGACACAGGCGTCTGCTGTGTGGATGTAGGCAGCATGCAAAGGGACCTGACTGCTGCTCAGTGTGTGCAAGAGCATGGCTGGGAGCACTGCTCCGGGAGTCCACGTACTGGCTCTGCTGGTTGCTGGCTATGTGATCTCTCGTGGGCTGTTCAGCCTCTCGGAGTCTCTGTGCTCCATACTGATCAGGAAAGTAGGCTGTAATGCTGTGTGTGTGTGTGCGTGTGTGTGTGTGTGTGTGCGTGCACGTGTGCATGGCTACACAGTCACAGCTGGATGCACAGCCTGCACCTGGTGCGTGGTTCCTGACGTGCGATGGTGCTTGTTTCTATTGGTTTCCTAGGAGGGGAGCCCTCTGCCCCCCTTTCCGGCCTGGCTCTGGGAGGCTGCACCAGGCTTCTTCCCTCCAGCCTTCTGTGGTAACCTGAGTTTGCTCCCAGCACGGAGGCACTCAGTGCCCACTGCTGGAATCACCCTGAGTCCTGGGGGTAGTGCAGGGACTGTGCCTTCCTCGCCTGAGGAGCCTGGAGTCAGCAGGGAGGCCACGGGTCAGAGAAGGATGGTGCAGAGCACTGGTGCCCTGTGTCCCGGACTGTTCTCATATGCAGCCTCTTCTTGTACTTTGGCGCTGCTCTTCCCTGGTAGCTCACTGTCTGCCTCCCCATGTTAGTGCCTGGCTGGCCGGGTCCCAGTGTCTCTAGCTCTTTCGGCTTCCTGTTGCCTCCCGTGCCTGTACTACCCATTGGTACTTGATGTAGATGGCCTGCGTTATTATTGCCTGTCTTTGAAGAACATATGTCTTTTATTCATTCACTCATCCATTAAATGGCAAATTCTTCAGTGCATCCAATTAAGTTTCTTTTACTTTTTAATCTGTGTTTCTAGGACCCTTGGAAATGTGAAACCTTCGGAAAGCAACTTGACTTTGAATGCAGCATATAATCACTGCTAACACACCCTGTGTATGCTCTTGGCCCAGCACTGTTCCAAGTTCTTTCTGTTTTTCCAGGTAGGTTCTCAGGAGGTGCCATTTTACACACAGCAAAGCAGATTTCAGAGGGCACGGGGACTTGTTAGGGTTCCAGAGTCAGAGGTGGAGGGGCACCCAAGTGCGGGGATCATGATCGGTGTCGTGCAGCCTCCAGAAGTGGAGAGGGATTAGACACAGGACCTGTGGCTGGCCTGGCTCCTGAGGTGCTTTCAGGTGCCATGTACCATGCAAGCAGGGTGATGTTGCGTCTTCCTATTTACAGGTCAGGGAGAGAAAGGGGAAGGTCAGGCCAAAAGCTGCGAGCTGAACAGGCAGAGTGAGGATTCGTCCCCGAACGCTGTGCCTGGCTCCTGTCAGGTCCAAGCTCTGGGGAGATATGTTCCCTTTTGTTTACACTGTGAAATATGAGGCTTAACAAACATTGATGACCTTGAGTGACAACAATGCTGGACATGGAGAAATGAGAAATGTTGCTGAGGCTGTGGAGAGGTTCAGGAAGGGGCAATGGGTTTCTAAGATAAAACAAGAAAAGACAAGACAAGACAAGACAAGTCTGTATTGAGGAGAGGTCATCTACCATTCACACCTAGGTCTTCCTCCAATGGAATCAGGTGTTGAACACGAAGATGGTCCTCAGAGCCTCACTGTGTGACCCTCCCCTGGGTGTCTCATCACTTGTGGGCTGTGGGCTCTGGGCTGAGAGGAAGGAGCCACTTGAAAGGTGAGTTAAGTCCCCACAGCCCAGGAGATGCTCTGTTTCTTGGTGGAGATTTATCCCATTTCAGAGAAAGCGGCCATGATCCCTGATCAGGTGCATACCATCGATGGGGTTGAGTTTTGTGACTTGAATAAGCTGTGGTCCCACCTCACCTGGCAGGGCTGTGTCACCAAATGGCAGAGGCAAATGCCAGGCAGGGAGAGGGCAACCCTGATGTTGCCAGATCTAGCCACCCCCATGTATGTAGGTGATCTGCCTGGGGATCGTGAGTGTGTGCATGTGTCTATGTGTGCGTGCATGCATGTGTATGTATGTGTGTACATATATGTGCACACATGCTTATGTGTGCACACATGTGTGCATATGTGTGGGTGCATGTGAGCATGTATGTTCATGTGCGTGCATGTGCAGTGTGTATGTGTGTGCCACACGTGTGGGTATGTGTATGTGTTCTTTCTTTGCCATGTCCTGAAAAGACTTAGTTTTCTTTTTGGTGGCAGTTCTTGTGCCTCATTTCATCTCGTAAATTCTTTTTGACTTTTGCTCTCTCTTTGGATTCTCTGTTTCCCAGCTGTCACCCAAGATTGGACTAAACTCTGTGCCTCTTGTTAAAAAGAAAAAAAAGAACGAACACAGTGCAACCCTCTAATAAGCACATTCACAACTTTCTGTGAGGCGCTTAGGAAAACTAAAAGGTTAATATATTCTAACTAGATGTTGGGTGTAGAATGTCAGATCTGTCAAATTTCATTAGAATGCACTGCTCATTGGAAAAGATTTGATTTCTTTTGCCACTGTCCTACTACGCTCCAGTCACACGCTGCCAGCAGCAGCCCGCTGAAGACCGCAGGCTGGCAGCACGGGCTCGGGTGGGAACCAGCCGCACGACCATCTGTTTCCGATTCTTCACTGAGCCAAGAAGTGCAGTGAGGAGCGCTCTGTTCACCAGGCTGGCTTTCCAGCTCACGGTATTAGTGTTACAGAGGAAGTGATCTCTCCCAGACAGCAGGGGAGCCATATTCCTTATGGAGCAGGACAGCAGCACACGTGCACGCACACTCACAGCACACACGCACAATGCTCAGACATCTTTTGTTAAATCATGGGAAAGGCTGCCTGAAACTTACTACTTCATGGGGTTAGAAAGTGTTTTCTATCCAGGGAGATGGCTTGAGCCTCCTTTAACCCTTTGAATGCTGCATATCTCTGGGATGCTCCCAGGGGCTTGGTTGAAATGGTCAGAGGAAGGATCTGAACCATCTTGAGTGAGCTAACGTTCAGGACCATGCAATTCCAGAGATCATCACAGAGCCCTTGCCCAGCTGGCAAAGATGACCTGAGCTCACACAAAGTAGCAGCATCAGCTCCTTTGCCAGGGTCCTACCCCACGGGCGGGTGGTAGGCTCTCTGTGGACACCAGAGCAATGTGCTCTTGCCTTCGTATGTGAGGTTGGGCCTCCACCTGGCTCTGGTGGGTCATTTTTAGAAAAATGGAAGTGAAGTAGCAACACTGAGTATGTGAAATATGCTAGCAACAACACTTAATCTATGTTATAAACACGGATTTGAGGACAGGTAGTTGCCACCAGGCAGGGTCTCAGGATGCAAAGAAGAAAGATGTGGCATCACCCAGGGGCATGTCCTCTGCTGGCCTTGTCTGTAAGTGGGTTGGTGACAGAGACTGACTTTCGGGACTGGTGCAGGGTTAGATGAACACTAACCTGTGTACTGGCCCTTGGCAGGTGCTGGAGAGACATTGATCTCTCTTTCCTCTACTCCTGCCTGCATGCTGGGCCTGTGCCTGTCCCGTGCCCAGGGTCCAGGCTTCCTTCCTCAGGCTTGGCCTGTGGAGGTGCTGCACAGAGCCTCGAGCCATGCAGTGCCTCCTGTGTGCTTTGGATTATGGTGAAGGAGATACAGCTTTTACCAAAATGAACTTTTTTCATTTAAAAAGAGGAGGGGACTCAGCGAGGCCCAGCAGAGTCACCAGGATTCAGGGCCAGGTGCTCGTGGGGCCATTGCCACAGGGACCATGGTTGCCAACACTGCATTGTCCTGTGTCATTCTGATGACCTGGGCTCTGGCCACCGCTTGACCTGGCTGCATTTCACCCCAGTGGCTGGGCTGTTCCTCACTGGGTAGCAGTAGAGGTGCAGAAGTCCCAGAGAGATCCCCAAAAGCAAGTTGGGGTTTGTGTGGGACTCAGAAGGTCTGTGAACAGGAAGTCTCCTGGGTGGCCAGCCAGACTGGAACCTGCAGGGTAAGTTAGAAACCAGGCTGGTCCTAACGGAGACTTATGGGACCTTCTGGGCCCAGGAGGCTGGGTGCCTCTGCAATGCCCTCCTGAGCTAGGGCCGAGGGGCCAGGACCCCCAGCACTTGGAGTGAGCCTGGTGGACTAGGAAGAGCCCTTAGCTTGACTGTGGCAAAGACAAAACCCATGAATCCCAGCTCCAGTGTCCCCACCAGCCGGGGTGGCGTCCCACAGATCTTCCATGCTTGGGGGTCCAATAGCTCAGTTAGCTGACAGCACGAGGCCCATGACTCAGGTCACTTCCTAGAAGGCAGGGAAGAGGCTCCACGTCCAATTCAAACAGAACGGCCCAGGTGCATCCAGGAGCAGCCTTTGTCTCCAGACAGGGAGGACAGGTAAAAGTCAGCGAGAAGCTCCCATGCTCTGTGCTGGAAACCTGCTATGGAGAGAGGGCGCCAAGAAGGCAGTGTGCACGCGAAATCGGTGTTTCTTATCCAGGTATTCCTGCCTCAGTGTATCTTTCCCACAGAGCATCTGGGCCAGAAAACGAAAAAGAGATCCCCAAATCTGCAGCATTAATGGCGTGTGGTTACATTTTGTGCTCCAAAGGTTAACTTTGGAGAAAGCTCTAAGCTCCTGTACTGTCTTGAAGAGAGACAGTTTGCTTGGAGGGGGATGGGAAAAGATCTTAGAGCAGGCACTCCTTCCTGCTACACCCCAGCTCCCTAATTTTTTATCTTGGGTCCCCAGTCAGGTCCTTTTACTTGCTACCACATTTTAAAAAGTTGCCATTGTATGGGCAGTGGACCTACTGCAAGAGACATGGGGGTCCTGGGGAACTGGAGCCTCAGTTGGTGCCCTGTCCCTGGGCTGTGAAGGGAGAAGAGGAGATGCCTGTCTCTGCGCCTTTCCTCTCTGTCCCCACATACTGGACTCTACCTCACAGGGAGCGTGGACCACGCCTTGGGAGAATGGGATTCCTGCACCCACTGTGGGCCATATTCCTGCTGCCCTCCACTCGTGGGCAGAGGGCTTCTCTCCACATCTTGCTGCACTCGGGGCTCAAGGGCTTGCACCGACAGTTGATGTTCAGCCCCTGCCCTTCTCCCTCTTCCAGCTTCCTGTGCTCATAGAGCTGTCCTGTGCAGAAGACAGGGTACTGTCTAATGAGGACAGAGCTGGCCCCATGCAAGGCGGTGACCTCCAGCACACAGGCAGCAGAAGGATGTGACACTAAGGGAGCACAGCGTGGGGTGGGGTTGGATGGGCTATTTGCATTTCGTGCAAGCCATAGTGATGAGGGTGGGCTTGCTGGGTGGTGAGGAGGATGGCAGATGTTGGCATGGGGAGGAGGAGCAGAAGGGCCACAGGATGAAGAGCAGCGCAAGGAAGCAAGGGCCTGGTGCTAGCCCATTCTGAGCTGTCTCCCGTGGCACAGTGGGAGGGTCTCACCTCCCTGCATCCTACTGTTCTCTCTGTGGATGGCCTGCACACCTGCCCTTTCCTGTATGGCCCACGGGCTAAGAGCTGCTTCCACCTTTGCAAATGATTGGAAGACATGGGTGAAGAATAATGTACAATGACACAGGGAATTGTATGAAACCCAGGTTTCAGTGATCACAAGGAGGCCTGTGGGCCATGGTCATGCTCATTCACTATGCTTTGTTTATAGCAGTTCATGTGCTGGGAGACCAGAGGAGAGATGGTAGGGTTGAGACCAGATGGCTTGAAAGGCCGTGGACCTTTACTCTCTGTTCCTTGACTGGAAAGGTCTGGGAGGCCCCTGGCAGATGCAAAGGGCCAGGCTGGAGACTGACGAGCTTGGATTCTAGGTACAGGACTGTTGCAGATGCCCTAAACTGCCATGCCAATTTGCTCACTGGCAAAATGGTAATGAAAATGCCTTGCAGTCTTGCAGAGATTGAAGAAGATATTGTCATACAGAGCTCCTAGGATAGCAAGTGGCAACATAAATGTATTTACAGACAGCGGTTGATGGCAACTGTGATTGCCTTGAGATATGAATAACCTTTGAGATAAGGTAAATGTGATAACATTGTGAACTCCTGGACTCGTGGCCATAATGCCTACTTTAGGAACTGTCCATGATGAAAAGTGATTTCTGATCAGAGATCAACAGGGAAAGGGAAGGATGTGTCTGCTCCTGCCGCAACTCCTGGAAATAACAGTAACAGTTGAAAGGGATGGGACACCTGTTGTGACTTGATATCGACACTCCACCTGCTGTCTCGTCCCAGCCTCCGCAGAGCTGGGAGGTGGCTGCCCTCCGAATCATAGTTCAGATGGGAGATTGAGGCCTGCAGGGTTAGTCCCATCTCAGCAAGAGGCAGAGCCATGACTTGGACTGGCAGAGTCTGACGCCAGATTTTCTTCTCCAACCTACTTGGCCTCGTGCACATCTGATGAGGGGAGCAGGGACCCCCCTGAGACTGCAGCCTGCGTCCTCCCATGGGAGCACTGCATGGGGGTGTTCTGTGGTGGCTTCTGGTTGGGAAGATGCTTTTGCAACAGCAGCATCTGTGCCTGGCCAGCTCCTCGGGGAACCCTGAGAGGCTGCCGCTCGGGGACTCTGGAGAGCCGTCCTCTTGGGTGGCCCCATGTGTGACCGTGACTCAGGTAAGGGACAGGAGTAAGGCTACACTGGCAGTGGCAGACACAGTGTGTCTGCTTGCTTCTCTAGTATCATGGCTTGATGTGGGAATCTGCTCCCAAAGAGCCCTACAAAAGCCCCAGGCTGCATCTGAGGGCTCTGCTTGGTCTCTGTGTGTCACAGTGGGTTTTCTAGGGGGCAGTGCAGGAACAGACTAGAGTATTCAGGGGTTGTCTGCCTCTTGGCCACAGGGAGTAAGGGTAAACATTATTATTTTTATTTCTATTCTGTTTCCAGAATTTATCCCTAACCCTACTATGTATTGGATGACTCAGAACCCTGATTTCTCTAGCTCCATGATTTCTCCTCTGGAGTCTCACTGTAAATGTGGTCTGATGACTGTGCCAGATTGATGCTCATTTTAACATTTTTTAAAGCCCTGAAGAAATGAAGGGAAAAAGAAGTTCTGTGCGGCTCAGCAACATCCAGGTCTGCTCCACAGCCACAAGAGAACAACGCTTACAAATGGAGACTGCTCCTGCTGTGGTACTGTGAAAACATGCAGAAGGAACCCAGGCTGGGGAAAACCCACGACTTACTTGTTAGAAGACAGGAGGAAGATACTCCTCAGTGTTAATGCTTGTGGTTATAAATGATGGAATTATGTGTTCTTTCTGGTTGGCTTCCATAGTGTCAAAAGTTCCGTTAATGAAAAGGTACCAATTCTATACTGAAGGGCATACAGTGTTGAAAAGCCGTGTGTGCTGCTGGTAACTGGTCTCAAAGCTCCCTCCTGGCGCCTTATCTCTGCTGGCCTCATGGCTCCCTGACCCAAGGGAGGCCCAAGGGCTGAGGCAAGTAGTGTGACCCAAGCTTTGAACCCAGACGTTGTAACCCACCCACAGCTGAAACTGTGCTCACTGCTCAGCAGCTTCCTGTTTCTGCCTGCCCTGTCCACGTCTGGCAACTACTGCTCTGCTTTCAAGCGTCTGTGAGTTGGCCAATCTGGATGTCTCGGTAAGTGGAATCATGCTGTGTTTGTCCTTCTGTGACTGGCTCGTGTCATGTACTATATGTCTGGGGGTTTCTTTACTTTTTGTCTTTTTTCTTTTTTAAGACAAGGTCTGCTATGCAGCCCAGGCTGGCCTTGAACTTGCCATCCTTCTCCTCAGCCTTCTGAATGCTGGGACTTCTGGTGTGTATCGCCATGCCCTTCTCAAGGCCCATTATCTGTATGAATCATGTTTTCTTTGTCCATTCATTTGTGAACTTATGGGTAAGCATTCAGGTTGTTTCTACTTTTTGAACATTGTGCATAATGCTGTGATTAACAGGGGAATGCAAATATCTTTCTGAAATTCCTGATTTCAGTGCTCGGATTACTACCCAGAAGTGAGGTTACTGGCTTTCACGGTAGTTCCGTTGTCAATTTTTAGTGGAACCTACTCACCATTTCCCATGCAGGGATGCCATGCTCGGTGTCCACACATGGTGCACAGCGTTCCAGCTTCCCCCAGCCACTCTCAGGGTGGAGGTGTCATCTCACCAGGGCTGGCTTACATTTCCCTGGTGATGTGTGGTATAGAACATCCTCTCACATACCTGTCGGTTATTTGTGTGTCTTCTTTGGAGAAAAAAACTTTGTAAGTTCTTTGCTCAGATTTTGGGTTATTTTTGTTAATGCAGTTAGAATTCTACTTTTATCAGATATATTTGCAAATATCTTTACCCGTTCTCTCTTCATTATGTTGGTTATTTCCTTTGATGTGAAGAAGCTTCATAATTTAGTGTAGTTCTGCTTGTTTGTCTCTTTATTCATCAGGATTGTTTTGCAATACAGGGGATCAGATCAGGAGTGCTATTCCCCTGAGCTGCATCCTCAGCCCTGTTTACTGTCCAAGTAGGGTCTCATTTGGTTGCCCAGGCTAACTTCAAACTTGAGATTCTCCTGCCTCAGCCTCTCAAGTGACTAGGATTACTAGGCATACACCATTGCACCACATTCTTATTTGTTTATTTTTGCTTTTGTTTCTGTTTTCTTGCTATCATAGTAAAAAAAACACTGCTAAGACCAATAGTAGGGAGTTTCAACTTATGTTTCCTTTCAAGAGCTTTGTAGTTTCAAGTCTTGCACTTATGTCTTTAAGCTAATTTGAGTTAAGTTTGTGTATAATGTGAGATAAGGTCAAATTCATTCTTTTGCATCTTTTCTCAGCACTATTTGTTGAAAACTATATTTCCCCTTGTACAGATTTGGCACCTTTGTAAAAGGTTATTTGATCATAAGACCTCCGGATAGCTTCCGGGCTCCTAGTGTGCTCTATGACTGTGTGTCTGTCCTCATGCCAGTATCACACTATCCTAGCCCATCTCTTGTTACTGAGACACAGAGCTGAAGGAGGACACAGTTTCGGGAGTTTCAGTCCATGGTTAGCAGAAGTGGCCTGAAGCAAGGGCCTGTGTGGAGGGAGGACAGCTGCTCATGTCGTGGCAGAAGGGAGCAGAGCGAGGAGGGAGGACCCTTCCAGTGATGTGGAGCCCTCCCGACTTCCACAGTGGACAATCCAGTGATGATACAGCACCCCAAGACCCAGTCACCTCCTAAACACACCACGGCTTTGGAGTCAGTCTGCATTTAAGCTGCAGCACAGACTGTTGTATTCACGGCTGCCTGGTGTATGTTCTGAAATCAAGTAAGGTGAGTTTCCAAGTTTGTGCTTCTTTCTCAAGACTTTTTGGTCTAATCAGGACTTTTAAATTTCAGGTGAATGATGGAATTTTAAAAAATATTTCTGCCAAAAATAAAAGAAGTTTCTGCCAAAAAAGGTGCCATTGGGATTTTGACAGGGCACACAGTGAAGCTGGTAGCTCTGGTTGGTTGTACCGACATTTTACTAATACTGTTTTTGCAGCTATGAATATGAGATGTTATTTTCTGTACTTGTGTCTTTAATCTCTCCCCAAAACACTATAGTTTTCAATTGTATAGTATTTTACTTTCTGGATTGAGTTTATTCCTAAATAATTTAATCTTTTTAATATTATTGGAAATAGGATTGTTTTCTGAATTTCCTTTTTGGCTTGTTGTTAGTGTATAAAAATGCAACAAATTTTGGGTGTGATTTTGTATCTTGAAAATTTGCCAAATTTATTTATTAATTCTAACTACCTTTCTGTGGGGCCTGCAGACGTATAAGATGGTGCTGCCTATAGATAGGGATAATTATGCTTCTTCTGTGATTGTCTTTTGGCTTCTTTGCCAGCCCAAATGTGTTGAGAACTCAACCAGCAGTGCTGACCTTGGGCACCTCACCTTCTTCTGACCTTGGAGATCTTGAATATCATGTGAGGGTGAGCTTGTCAGACGGGGCTCTCAGCATACCCACCAAGGGGACTACCTCCTCTTCCTGGCCTGTTGGGTGTTATATTATGTAAGTGTTGAGTTTTGTCAGATGGTTTTTCTGTATCTGTTGAGATGAACACAATTTTAATACTTTGTTCTGTTAACGTGGCATATTACATTGATTAATTTTGTAGGTTAGACCATTTTTGCATCTTAGGGTAAAATGTCCTTGGTCAGAGTATATAATCTTTTCTACATGGTACGAATTCAGCTCACTAGTATTTTGTTCATTTTCATCTATATTCATCAGGTATATTGGCTTGTGGTTTATCTTTCTGGCAATGTCTTTGTCTTTGGTACTGGAATAATGCTGTGTTATAGATTAAAAACTGGTGGTCAATTTAACGTCAGCTGAATTAAATCATCATTCTGCTGAGTGTAGATGTTCCACCTGAGGAAAGTTGCCAGCGTAAGTAGAGACTTGGAGAAGGAGAAGTGAGGTGTTGGGGCACTTTGAGTTCTACATGTTGCCATTTGAGCCGTTGGTTTTCCTGGAGGAGCTTGTCATAACTGGCTTCCCCAGTGTGAGTTCAACCATTGTCATCGGAGGCCCTTGGGACCTTGTTGGTGAGTGGCTGTGGTTCACTTTGGGGGAGCTCTGGTCTTACACTGAGCATCATTTCCTGGCTCCAAACGGGATGGTGTGAGGTGTTTAATTTCTAGGACAAACTCATCATGCTGGCTTCCTGGTGTGCACTCCACTGTGCTTATCACTGGGGCTTCTGTGTCACTGAGGATGGCTGTGGTACTTTTCAGGACAGTCTTGGTCTTTATTATGAGCGTGACTTCTCAGCTCCAGCGTAGAACCCTCAACTTACCAGCACAGCTCCTTCACCCTGCTGGCGTAACCTTTTTAGCTTCCACTACTGAGCTTTGGGCCTTCCTAGCACAGATCCATAAAAGAGACTGGTGTGAGTCCTTCTTGTAGGCTCTAGTTTCCAGCTGGACTTGTGGGAGGCACTGTCATGGGCTCTGGGTCTTCATCTCGACTCATGTAGTTCATTGCTGTTTGATCCAGGCCCTTGGAAGAATATTTTATGTCTTTAGTGTTGTGGATAGATTTCCTGCACTTTCTTATGTTAAACTCTGAGTGACCATCATAAAATAATAATATAAATCGTGTCCTGATTCTAATTGCTCTCCTCACAACCCCTGACTACTACATGATGGCTTCATGAAAAGAGTGTGGAAATGTTGGGAAGGAAAAAGACAAAGAGTGAGCTTCTTATTTACCTTTCTATCACTGCTGAAACAATATACACAACACCGAAAATTAAGAAAAGAAAGTTTCATTTAGCTCACAGTTTGTAGAGGTTTTGGTCCATAATCAACTGGATCCAAGGCAGGGTGGCACATGGCAAAGAGGCAACTATCATGGAAGCTGGGGTGGCAGAAGACAGCAAAAGCAGCAAGAGAAAAAGGAGGAATCGAGTCTCTTTTCCTCACTTACACTGTATGCTGGGTATCTGCCCTATGACTGGTATATCAGTCATATTCCCAAATCTAGTGCTAGACAACAAATCAATCACAGACTCTAGATTCAGCTGTCTTTTTTTATCATAGATAAAATTTTTTGCTGGGAAGCAGACCCTGGCTGAAAGCCTAAGATTTGGTATGTTGTGGCTTTGTTTTCATCAGTCTCATGGTATTTTCTAATGTAGCTCTACCATATTCTTTGACCTATTGGTTGCACAAGAATGTGTTGCTAAATTTCTACACATTTTAAATGCTAAATTTCTATACCTCTTTGATGGTGACCTTTAGTCTCATTTCATTATGGTTGGAAAAGGTACTTGGTATGATTTCCATTTTTAGTTATTTAGGACTTGATTTGTGTCCTAACATGGTCTATGCTGAAGAATGTTCCACCTCCACTTGGGAAGAGAGAGAGTCCTGGTGCAGTTGGGTGGGATGTTTTTTTTCTGTCTGTTTAGTTCATCTGGTCATAGTGTTGTTCACATGTACTGGTTTCTTATTTATTTTCTGTTTGGATATTCCATTCATTATTGAAAGTGGAGTACTGTAATCTCCTACCATTATTGTGTTGCTGTGTATTTGTGTATTTCTCCCTTTATTTCTATCAAGGTGATATATATATATATATATGTTTTCCATTGCTGGGACAAAACACTTGACACCACTTAAAGAAGGAGAGGTTTAATCTGACTCAATTTCAGGGGACTCAGCCTATGGTCAGCTGGATCCAAGGCAGAGGCACCATGATAGAAGGGCCTGGTGGGGCAAAGCTGCTTAGTTCATGGTAGCCAGGAAGCAGAGCAGAGGAAGAGTGTCAGAGAGGAAAGGGTCAAGGACCAGACATAGACTCTAAGGTCACACCTCTGTGATCCACTCAGACACACCCTGAAGTGTGCTTTACTAACCCCCTGGGTAGTACCAGGCCTATCAAGTTGATAATTAACTTTAATCATTACAATATATGTGGGTGTTTTAACATAGAATATGTACATATAAATACAATTATTTGTATTTAGAATTATTATATGTTCCTGGTGAACTGATGCCTTTATCATTATATAACATACAATGCCCATCTTTGTCTCTCATGTTAAAGTCTTTTTTCCTACCATTAGTCTAGTAGCTTCTGTTATTTCTT